GTAAAAAATATTGAATGCCATTGATATTGATATATAAAAATATAACTACAACATCCATATACTAATGACAAAAAAGTGAATGAACTATAATCTGTACTAGTGCTGAGATCCAAATCTGGATCAATCCATACCCGGATTACCGATTCAGATTGAAACAAAAATTACAATCCGTTTAATCTGGATTATTAAGCATTTTGAAAACAATTATTATTATTTTAATTATTTAAATATATAACTATAATTCTTTAATTACTAACAACAAATATATTTTACTAAAAAATGAAAATAATAGCTGATTATCTCAAAAATAATGAAGACAAATTGGATTTGTGAATTTGTATAAAACGGATTGATCTGAAATTCTGGTTAAATAATTGTATTACGGATTGGTTAAAATAATGCTCAGCACTAGTCTGTACCAAATAAGAGTGCACCACGTCAACACATCCAAATGACCCGCAGACCCCCTGGCTGAGTCTATTCGCTCTGTCATTGCCAGTTACCGTTAGTCCATGAGCAAGTTTAAATCGACTTTTGTGCACTTGTATTTAGTACAGATTATATTTGATAATTCATTAAAAACAATTCTAAAAATTCAGTTAAGTGAAAATCAGATGCAATTACCATTTCAGAAAAGTAGGATATAATTACACTGTTTACTGAAATTGAACAGAAAATCAAAAAAAGCACACCCAGTTTTTGTTTAGCAAATTAGGGGCCTATTTTTATTTATGTGCAAGGACAAAAAATTTGTATATTCCACTGCTGTAGTCAAGTAAAGCATTTTGTAATATACCTAATTGTTTTTACTTTAAGCCAAATATGCAAAAATGAACATTTGTATACAATTTAAGAATATATTTTCCTACTTACARTCGTTATTTTTTTCTCTGTCGACCATCCATTTCACAGCTCTTCGCTGGTAAGATCTAAGTGTTGGTATAACAATCTGAGGTTGTTCATAATCGTCATTAATGTGTTTATGATAAGTTTTAATAACTTCAAAAAACTTAGCAGCTTGTGAATTATTCATGTTTGGAAGTCCTGAAAATATTTATATATAAGATTACTAGTTAGTTATTTAGTATAAAATATTGAATTAAATTAATTAATTTAGAAATAATTTTAATGATAAAATAAATAAATATTCTTTTGTATATTTTGTACAAATTAGGAATTAAACTACTAATATTTAAAAGTGTCTTTAAAGTTTATAACATATTTAATACTTTATTATTCATTATTCATTATAAATGAAACATAATATGAATAATTATTGTTGACTACTGTTTTAATAAAACTAAAAATGACATAATGTAGGCAAATACTCTTACTACACTATAATAATAAATAAATTTCAGCCAGTTCAATCAAGTAGATTACTGGAAGTACAGCAGAAGAGTTTGAATAGGAAAAAAGTCTAACGTACCGGATATCAATATCTACAGACGAAGACCAACAGCAATAACAGAATATTACGACAGGTCCGATATTTAGTATTTACATTGCGAGTACTGACTACTAAGGTACCATGATTGTACAGTACAATTTTGCCTCTAAAACAAACGAGAAATAAATTAGGATTAAAGAATAAGCGAACTCCGTGTGTATAAATTATGATTTACCAGCTTCCTTAGTAGCTCGGAGGGCTACTACTCTACTAGGGCTAGTAAAATTTATAAAAATTTAAAACCTTATCTAATACATTTTAAGTTATAATAATAAAAAAATTGTATATATATATATTATAAATGTTGTATTATGATCAGCTTTGGTATATCATATAATATTATAAAACCACGACCACATCAGAATTCTAAACCAGGCTTATTGTTGTTTACAGTTTGCGGAGTACAAACAACATCCAGTGTAGGAAAGTTACCCAATCTAAATGTCTTTCGGAGGGACTACATTATTCCCATTTCCCGTGGTTGCGAGTGAAAACCGTCGCCTATAGCGCCTATACCCTTTTATAACATTTTTAATATGTATCAGAACATATTAACAATATTTATATACATATACTGTATTACTGTAATATTTCTTCGTTATAAGTTATAATTTGTAGTCATATAAAAATTTAAGAAATTCCCCGAAGTTCTAATAACGGAGTAAACCCTAAACTCTAAAGGTTCGCTTTTCCGCATCCACAGCCTGCTGCTGGACTCAGCTGCAGTAAGTTGTGGTCAGTAGTAGGAAAAATATTATTGAAATTTGCAATGTGTGCAACAAATTAAGTCCGACTGGATTTTATCGCCACAGACCATAGTCCATASACTAACTATAGAGATGGARAACTAGGGCAGATGTTACGTAATATATGTAGGAGGTCGTGATAGAATGAAATTGAAACATTTTTTTGAGGTGTTTGTTGGAAATTCAATTCGGCCGCTCTAAAAGGGTTTTTTGCTATTCCAAGAATAATGCTTTTATTTTAATATGATTATCGCAGATGAATATTAGTAATATTACCTATGTATTTTTATTTTATATTTATAACGAATAACGATAGACGATAGTTAATAATAAACTTTAATTATATTTAAAAAAAATAAGTAATTATATTAATATAAATATGAATATTATCTTATCCCAAATAGATAAGTGGATTACAAAATTACGWGTTTTAACTTTAAACTATTCCAAATGCCCTAATAGCAAATGAGCCCAGTTGTGAAAAACGCGAAAAAAATGTTAAAAACTTATATTTTGGAACAAAATGATTGAAAGCTTGCAGGGAGCTAAAATAGCGAATAGAATTGTTCAAATTTTAGTTCAGATTTCACCAGACATTTCTTTATRCCATTAAACGACGAATGGAAAAATAAAGACGAAAAAGTCAATTTGAACTACTTTAATTTTATAAATGTTTGAAATAAAGATATTAAGGTTTACGTGATTTATTTACACTARCATAATACATAAATAGTAAATACGATARGTAGGTAAATTTAGATTTTATTAAAATATTGAGCATAAAATTATGAATTCATCATTTTGAGGTTTTTTACAATAACTAAACCAGGTTTTTTAAGTACCATCAAATTAAGCATTAAAAAACAGATATTTTAAAAATAAAATTCAAAAAAATTGCCTGGGAACTAAACTAGATTTGTTTAGGAGATAACTATATATGACCAATGCTATTCGAATCCCAGTAAATACTTTTATTTAGTCCCAATAGAAATCAATTTAAATAATGAAATAATCTAAAAATAATGTTGGAAGTGAGTGGGAATACGTTGATAAAATGGGTTAATACATTAAGACTATTTTGTTAGTGAATAGTGAGGCCTATTTTATTTTATCAAATTTATGTTTTAGATTCTGACCGGAACAATAAATATATCTTTATTAATGTGTATTTTTTTAAACTTTTTAGTTTAGTAAAATGTAAARATGATTTAATTTTCTTCAACAGTATATAAARCAATTGGTTAGTACAAACCTACTGGCTACTTTAGTGGTTTAAAAGTAAAAAATTCCATATAATTTTAAAAATTGTATGGAAAACAGAGTTCTATTTTTTAGTGTTACWTTAAAAGGTTAAAAAATTGTAGGTTAAATCATGTAGACACATGAAATTTTTATAGAATGTTTATAAAGTAAATACTTATGTATGATAATAGTATTTTCAAAATATTGTGCTTGTTCTTGATCAATTCATAATCATAACAAAGTTATGAATATTGTATTAGTTTTTTTAAAATTTTTTTTTGATAATACAAGGTTTCTTATAGAGTTATAAGTAGTTTTAATAACAGTTAATAAATATTAAGGATTCATAGTCACAATTTTTTTTTTACAATTAATTTATGTACAATTGCTGACAAAATCTAAAATAAAATTATATAAGCACAGTAGTTATTTGGATGAATTAAAATATTAAAACAATAAAAATAATAATTATTATTTTATAGTAATTAAGACTTTGAGTACAGTCWTAAATTTTATACAATAAAGATTGAGATAATATGCATAACATTTTCAAATTATTTCGTAGTTAAAAAATTAAAAAATATTCAATTTTTGTAGGTAGCTTATGATTGAAAATGAATACTGTGACCAATAAATTTAAAATATATTTATGAAGAGTTATTTTTTTATTCATTTTAAGTTCAAACTTGGAGGAAATCATATATTAAAATTAAGAATAATATTTTAAAGTATATTATTATAGCTCAGAAACATTGTAAAGAAGAAGTCATTGAAGTGAAAGAGCACAGGTTTAAAAATTTGAATTGGATCAATTCAAATATCTAGGGTCAATCATAATTCATAATGCAGGATTTGATATAAAAACAGAARTATAAAGAAGATTACAATTAGAAATGTTTCTATAAACTAGAGAACATTTTTGGATCAAACCTATCTCTAATAACTTAAAAATCAGGATATATTTAATGATGTATTCAAGTACAGATACACATACTTTATTTGAAAAGTTTTTAAAATATGTGTTAGAATTAGAATAGGTACTCAGGTAAAAAAAAATATTTGTTGTATGAATACGAATACCTACTGTAAAATAGTATTTTTAGATCCTTTCAATTTTTTTATTACTACATTTTTACCTTATATTGTATAATTCATTAATAGAACCGGATTTTCATGTTTTAAGTTAATGTTATAAAATCTTCTCGGCTGCTTCTCTACAACATGACTACATCAAGTAAATCACGTTTCACGTCGTCACGAATTCACGATATAAGAATAACATTTTGTTTCTTGTATACATCGAGTTAGTGCCGTTATCAATAGTTACCCGTCGGCTGTCGGTGATAAACTGATAAGAAATAAATATTTATCACGGAAGTATGGGGAATCATGGACCATGGTGTACTAATTGCTTAGACYTATTAATAGGTCCATGGGTATTTGCCCTGAAATTTCATGGAGGAAAAATGAGTTGTAGCGATAGCAGTTGGATAACTACAGTGATCAAAGCTCGGTGTTTATAGCAGCTGCTGGTCCTACAGATATGTAAACAAACACGAAACCTAACCAAGACTCCAAAACGACCAAAACCCGATTAATGGTATAGTTCAATAGTGATATATTCTGGCGTATTGTTTGATATTTATAATTTTAAGTGTTACTCGTTTACTGTCTATTCGGCTTTTAGAATTTTAGTTAATACAAAAAATAATATCTTCTTCGAACGTACTGGTCATTATTCGTGACTTTCTGAGCGGCCCTACATCTTCTGTGACTGTCCCCAACTAGGCTAAAGTATGCAGCCGGCCAGGGATCGAGAAAAATCATCCAGCAATGTGGTAATAGTGTTCTTCCACGATTTTTTTCTTCGGATAGTTTTAAAGACATTTTWATATTTTAGAAACCAAATTACTCATTAAAATTTACATTGGCTGGTCACACTAAAGCCGTATCATCAGTGAAGTTCAGTCCTAATGGTGAATGGCTTGCAAGTTCATGTGAGTTGTGCTCTTAAATTTTGTACCTAAATTTGTAATATATTTATGATAAAATCTGTTTTTGTATTCAATTTTCCACATTAATAATTTAAAGGTGGACCTTTAATGCACTTAAAATCCTTTTACTGAGTAATATACTCTGCATACACATTAACAAACTATATATTATATTCATTTTATGAATATAAAATTATTTAGTGTTCTAGGAACTCGATTGCAGATTGTTAATTATAGCATTCACCTTTTAAGATTCATTAACATTTCAAATAATGGTTGCTAATAGATTTACAATTTATTATGGTGGGTGATGGCCACATTTATTTGTTACAGACTAAATACACTAAAATTACACAATTGTATCTTGTGTCATGATAAATTTCATGGTAGTATAATGTATTTTTTTTTTGCTAAAAAGTAACAGTTACTWTTACTGAAAAATATGTACTGAATAGTACCTGGACATTATTATTTTAAATTTTCATATTTTTACAAAAAAATTTCCAAGTACATTCGAGCCAAAACTAATGGTAATGATAAAAATATACCACACAATCTTATAACTTATAAGATAATTTGAAAAACATAAAATTAAAAGTAAAGATAATTATGTAGAATTAATTTTTTTGGTGTATTTGTTTAATATAGTGATGTATTAGTTATAAATTTATAATGACTACATATTTATGTTACATATTATAGTTAATTGTGTATAGACATTTTATGTTTAACAGTAAATACAATTTGATTGGAAATATAAATGTACCATATATATTTGATACGTGTATCTTGTATTCTTGTATCATGTATCATGATACTTTTTTTTAGTATCTTGTCCAACCCTTATAACATACTAACTAATGTCTGATATTTATAAATTACTAAATTGTATACTTTAGACATTGTTATTATTAAGATAACAAAACTCATTTGACATTAAGACCACAATTACAATGCATGTTATTTTTTTCCACTTATGCATGCAAGGTTCACTCAAATTGTTTAACAAATGATGCAGTACAGTTTGTTTATAGTGTGTAAATAATATAAAAGCAATTATAAATTAGTATAAGTATAATTTTAGTATGGATTGATAATTTAAGTCTCAAAATCTATCTCTTCARTAAAATTACTGCTTTTTAAATTAATGTAAAATTAAAATCTTTGATTTTACAATGAATATTTTGAAATGTACTTAAATTAACACATTTTTTTACTATTTTTTGTGATTTTAATAATTTTGATTATGTTATAATATTTGACTTATTTAATTTTTTTCTATTCTTTATAGCTGCTGATAAATTGATTAAAATTTGGGGTGCTTATGACGGCAAATTTGAAAAGTCTATTGCTGGACACAAGTTAGGAATCAGTGATGTCAGTTGGTCATCAGATAGTCGTCTTTTAGTATCTGCTTCTGATGATAAGACGTTAAAAGTTTGGGAATTAAGTACGGTAAGGATTTATTTATGGTAATTATCTTACTACCTAATAAATTTAGTTATCAATATTTATAGGGGTTTGAACTTTTTTTGAATTTTTAGAGAACATCACATTTATGATACTTTTAACAAATGCACAATATAACAAATTACATTCAATTCAGCAGAAACAATTTCATGTTACTGTCTGTAATATTAAAATCTAAAATTAAAACTTAAAGTTAAGAACATCTATGCTTGTGCGTTGGATTTTATATGATATATCAATTTTTCTACAATTTATGAGAGTATATATTTAAAAATGCTYATTAACAAAGAAAAATTAGTATTATAAAAAATTCTACTTACAAATACAAAATATTATTTCCACTTTACGATTGATAATAGGTTAATTTACTCTAACATTACACCCAAAAACCCAATATTGGTTCATCTGAACCCAGATTTGCTGAATTGTAAGTTTGTATGACAAGGACAACACAATATTTGGTTTTAGATAGTGATTAAAATAAAAATAAAATAATTGGAAAAGACTAAAAAAATCTAATAAATACATTTAATCTAAATATTTTGAAAATAATCTGAATTGCCTTGAATATTATTGCAGTAGTTTATATAGATTTATATTTGTATTAATTATTCTTTAATATTTTACAAATATCTTAACTAAATTAAGTGTATTGAATGACAACAATATTGAACACCAAAAATAACATTTTGATAGATTAAAGATAATTTTATTTTCCCTAAGTGTCACTATGTACTATAAAAATATGACTGCTGTTATGATTAATATTCTTTTTATCTAAAAATAATTGAATAAATACTTTAATTTGCTCAATACAATTATATTGATTTTAATTTATAGTTATAATTCATAGTTAAATAATAAATTATTAGAATTGAATAATCTACTATTGAAAATGCTTAAAAAATGTTGAATGCACTTAATTTAATTCCTTGAACCACTTGATTATTTTATTTTTTCAGTCAAAGTGTGTCAAGACACTTAAAGGCCATAGTAACTATGTTTTTTGTTGCAATTTTAATCCACAATCAAACCTMATAGCTTCTGGTTCTGTAAGTGTTAAAAAATTGTAAATATATTTTTAACACATTGATTTACACAATTTTTTTAATTTCTTAAGTTTGATGAAAGTGTACGAATTTGGGAAGTAAAAAGTGGTAAGTGTCTGAAAACACTTCCTGCACATTCTGATCCAGTTAGTGCCGTTCATTTTAATAGAGATGGATCCCTAGTGGTTTCTAGTAGTTATGATGGTTTATGGTAATATTTTTTTAATGGATTTCCTTAATTAATTTATATGCATTTTATACTTTTATATGGTTTGTTCTTTAGTCGTATTTGGGATACTGCCAGTGGTCAATGTTTAAAAACACTAATTGACGATGACAATCCACCTGTTTCATTTGTAAAATTTTCTCCAAATGGAAAGTACATCTTAGCTGCTACTCTTGATAATACATTAAAATTATGGGATTATACTAAAGGCAAATGTTTAAAAACTTATGTTGGCCATAAAAATGAAAAATATTGTATATTTGCAAATTTTTCTGTGACAGGTGGAAAGGCAAGTGTTATGCGTTAATTAATAATTATTAARCATTCACTTCATGTTTATTTTATTTATTTTTTATAATTTTAGTGGATAGTTTCTGGATCAGAAGACAATATGGTATATATTTGGAATTTACAATCTAAAGAAATTGTACAGAAATTACAAGGTCATACAGGTAAACACATTTTAATTTCATATTGAAACCATTGTTAATATACCTATGTTACATTATAGAAAAACATAAAGAAATTTTTAATTTCCTCTACTCTAAAAAAAAAAAMMCCCTTTATAAGAATACTTAATAAACAAAAAAAAATTTATTTTWATTTTATTTAAGATGTCACACCTGCATGTGTTGTTTTTGTCTTACACATGTACAAAAAGCATATTTTCGTTCACTAGTATTAATAGTGTACTGTTAGTTTGATATTAGAGTGAATTAAACTTTTTTGAATTTTACTTACCTCTAGTTCTTATCATTAAGTTTCATACTTATTTACTTCATTCTATTTTTTAAACTTACAAAGCTAAAAGTAAAGTGCTGATCGTAAATTTGCTTTGTTATGTACAAGTAAGATAAAAACTTGGCGGTAAAAAGGTTTTTTTAAATTACAGTAGAACCCCTCTCGTATGTCCTCGGCTAGTCCGCCGCTCCGGTTGATCCGACCATAGTATTATTGATATGAATACTATGTATGTAATTTAAAAWGTACAATTTGGATTTTCCAATTTATAGTAGATACATGYAATTAATTGCTTGTTTAATATTTCCCTTATTAGTCTTAGCTAAGTCTAGAATCTCATTTGCTAAACAAAAGTTTATAACTGGCTTTTTTTCTAAGTATTGTAAAATATAATTAATTTCTAATATAATCTAAATCTTTCATGTTATATGTATATAAAAATGTTCTGTATATTCTGATAATCCGACCTTTTTCGCGTTCCGACTACACCCCCAGTCACAGGTAACGGATTAGAGAGGGTCTACTGTAGTCCTATGAAAGAGAAAGAGTGTGCTAGATAGTTTATTAGTAATTGATGAAAGTCATACTTGCCTCTTCTATAGTTGGAGATGGTACAGTAAACAACAGTTAACTTTTTTTAATTGATTTTCAGATGTAGTTTTATGTACTTCATGCCATCCAACAGCAAATATAATTGCTTCAGCAGCCTTAGAAAATGACAAGACAATAAAACTATGGAAAAGTGATACATAAAGCTTAATTTAAAGCTTGAACATTATTTTGTATAATTTGTATAAAGGAAATGGTTATATCATCCTGCCTTATGATTATAGTCTTATTTTAATTGTAATCAACTGTAAAATTATCAACAATAATAGTATTAGTTAAACTTAAAAATCATTATTTTTCTTATTTTCTTATTTTATTGCTCAAAACTCAAATATTGTTTACAAAAAAAGAAATGTAGGATTCTATGATCTCTAAAAACAATTAAAAAATAATTTGCATCATACTGTTATTTACAGAATTAAAAAAAAATTAATTTTACTAAATAATATATATGACTGCATTCTGATAGATAAGATACTAGAATTATAAATACTTTATGTATAAAATATTAATTGACTTATATTGTAGTAAGTTTTTAACTTTAATTTTTAAATATCACTATTTTACTTTAAATTAAATAGACTGAGAGAACTGTTTTTTCACCATCATTAATTTAAAAATTTACAAAATTAACATGTTGTATTTGGTATATTTTATAAAGACTATTCGTTTACAAGTAAATTATTTTGTACTTTTATAAAGTGTAAAGTATATTTTCTGAATTTTTGATTGTGATTTGAAACTTGAAGTACATTATTCTTAAAACAGAAAYAAATTGAACTCAATATGGTATTTTTTGTTTTTAAGTACCRCTTTCATTTACTCTAATACTTCATACATGATAGGAAAATGTTGAAAATCAAAAAGTAGTTATTTTAATGAAATGTATAAATTATTTTAATTGTGTATTAAAATAAACCAAATTCCTATTAATTTATATAATATTACAGTTATTAAAAAAAAAAACATGAGAAATTCACTTTACAGTATAGTAGTAAATGAAAGTACCTTGTCACTGAATAGTCAGATTAACGTTAAATTTTTTT